TAGTACTGACACAGCTATTATCCTGTAGAAAGAAACGCAGACATAATATGAGTCTTCATATAGTTTCAGCATTTTAGCCAGATATCTTTCTTTTATATTGTTTTCATCCCTTCTACAGAACTGCACTTGATGCCCAACTCCCCTAAAATCGAACTACCTAAAGCTGCCAGTAACTTGTTTTCAAGATGCTTCCGTAAAGGAAACCTTTTACTGTGCAAATCACCTGTCTTCTGAGACTGTCATTGCCTGACTCATGGGTTGCATGCTTGTTTCAGAAAAGTTTTTTTTGGCTGCCAACAATCGATCCAATTGATCTATAATAGTATTTTAGTAGTCAGTCAATATCAATCATGTTTTCCACTATTTTTTGGTCCTTTTTTCAACATATTTCATGGCACTAACCTGAAGATGTAAAACAGTTGGGTGTGAAACGTCCTGTAGTATTGATATAACTATCCCCTTTCGTGACCATTTTCTGCTCAGAGGAAGCATCATTTGTGCCATGTCTAGCCTACAAACCTCAAATAATAGTTCTCATCGTGCAGTTAGTCTAATTGAACAATAGATCTGATTAAAAAAAATAATTGATTACAAGACATGGTCAATGTTTAGCTTGATTCAGATATATGGTGAGTATAGTTGCTGTCCTGGAACTATTTTGCAGCCTGCATGGCTGTGACAGGTTCCCTTTAGTGGAATAGGAAGAGGCCACTTTTAATAGATAATAATAAATCCGTCACAACTAGAACGTAAAAGGAAAGGAGCTGTGCCTGCTTTTCTTGCCATCTTCTTATGCAGTATTTTTGGTTGATATATATATCACACTGAGTGGCCAGATTATTATGACCACCCCATCAGTACTTGGTTGGGCCACCTTTTTGCCTTCAATACTGCGGCGATTCTTCTTGGCATTGACTCCACGAGATGTTGAAAGGTGATGCGAGGAATCTGACACCATGCCTGATGAATAGCACTGTCCAGTTCTGCGAGATTTGATGGTTGTGGAACCAGCTGCCTGATGGCTCTTTCAACTTCGTCCCACAAATGCTCAATTGGATTGAGATCTGGTGATTGTGGGGGCCACCTAAGTAAGGTAAAGTCTCCCTCATGTTCTTGAAACCACTCCTGCACAATACGAGCACCGTGGCATGGCGCATTGTCTTGTTGGAAGAAGCCATCTCCACTGTGATATACAACATCAACATGATAGGATGAACTTGATCAGCAACGATACTTTGGTATGTTGTGCTATTCAGACGTTGTTCCACACGAATTAAAGGGCCCAAATCATGACAGGAAAACATGCCCCAAACCTTAACACTGCCCCCACCAGCTTGAAGGGTTGTACTCATGCATGTTGGGTGCATGTTTTCATGCTGTTCCCGCCAAATTCTCACTCTGCCATCTGCATGATGCAACTGGAAACGTGATTCATCGGGCCACATGACTTTTTTCCAATGCTCGACTGTCCAATCCTTGTGTTCCTGTGCGAATTGGAGACGTTTTATCTTGCAGAAATCAAAGGTGTTCGAACAGGCCTTAGGCTTCCATATCCCATACGATGCATTGTACGGCGAACAGTGCGTTCAGAGATCACTTGAGAGGATCCCTGATTAAGATCTGCAGTCATTTGATGCACTGTTGCCCTTCTGTTGTCTTGTACATGTCTTGCCACTCTCCGTTCTGCCCTAACATTGACTAGTCGCTGACGGTCACAATTCGCACGTTCACACCCAGATTTTCAGCTGACAGTCCAGTCTTTAAACACTTTAACAATGAGCCCCTCTTGAACATTTAACGAATTCTGCTGTTTTGCTGATACTCGCTCCATGGCTCCAAGCGCCAACAATCATCCCACGTTCAAAGGCTGTTAAATCACGTTGTTTACCCATATGTCCAGAAAAAAAAAAACACTTCTACTGTCGTGGTAGACAACGTGCTTCCCTATTTATAATGGTCTGGCCCTCTAGCAACTTCAGCGCAAAATTATAGCTAATTTGCCTACAAACGTCAGGTGGTCATAATAAACTGGCCACTCAGTGTGTGTGTGTGTGTGTGTGTGTATATGTATATATATAACACACACACACACACACACACACACACACACACCTCTGCATCATGTACTAGCTCCTGAATATTATAACCCCCCACCAACATCACCTTGCTTTCTTGAAAGCATGCCAGGTATGAGTCTATATCTGCACTATACTTTTCTGTGACCGCTATGTTGCATTTCTTTGCTTGAAAACAGCAGCATTACGTCTAATGTTATAATGGTATGTTGCTGTGGCAACCCACTCACTGATTTCTCAAACTCCTGAGTAATTATGAGCCTTTATTGCGGGATTATTGCTTAATTAGGAACGTTCTGTGTGCTGCGTCTCAGGTTGCTTTGCACATTATTTTCTGGGCTGTGTGTAGCTAGTAAGCATTATCCTACACTCTTCACCCTTCTTGTCTGCAACAGTGTTTTCTGTATTATGTTACTAGAGCAACAAACTACCAATTGACTCATTCATAGGAATATAAGCTAAAAGAACTGAGAGTGTAGTCTGTATAAAGCAATAGACCAGAAAAGTAAAATTGAGCATTATGTATTTTTTTTTTTCATAGGTGGTTAGTGTATCCCTTTGCAACTTGAAACAGTTGTATAGGCCTGAATATGTGACCTAAGCCATATAGACTAAGCCCGCAGTCACACCTGCACGTTTCACCAAACGCGCTTTGACAGATATGGGGCAAAATGTTCAATGGGCTTGCGTTGCCATTAATTTTTGCTCAGTGTTTGCACGCAATAAAACATGCACAAATGTGGAAGCAAAAAACGCAGAATGCATGTCACAAAATTTGCTACATGAGCTTTTTTTTACCACGTTTGTTGCGCATTCAGGCCCCAATGAACTCTGTGGGGACACCCAGCAGAAGCAGCATACAAACACACACGCGTGCACGCGAACGTGCTGTGCATTCACGGAAGATGCAAGGTAAGGTGCCAATGTCTACTGGGGTGGCAGGCAGTGTGCTTTCATTGTTCTGTTTGCTTTGGCATTATGTCTGCCTTCTAGAAAAAATACAGAGTTTCTCATTTATAAGGGGATTTGGAAAACTGCGTCAGCAAAGTATGGACTGAAGAATAGACCTGCGGTAATCGAACTTTGTTGACTCTAATTTTATTGTAATGTAAAAGACCAAGGGAAACTGCCAGATTGTTAAACCATCACTATGCCTGGCCATTAGGAATCTTCCTCTGGACTGTTTGTCATCTTCAGCTCAGTCATATGTGTTAGGTGAGGGGTCCAAATCATGACATACAACTGATTCAATGCTCATATATTGCCTAGGCTAGTAGTAACTGCTAAACTGAGAATTCATTGACTTGAGTAACGTACTACAGTAGGGCAGGGTATGGTAACTATTTATGTTCTTTTGACAGTTGACTACATTTTACATTTTCTCCAGCTAACAGACATTTATTTTCCATATATCCTTAAGACAGCGTGTGTGTGCATGTGTACTTGCTTTGTATTGCACATACCAGAGGCAGATGAAATATGACAAACACAAATAGTTCTTTTAGTATAGTATGTGTTCATCTCACTATAAGCATAGAATATACAATCACTGAAATGTGTTTCACTGGTCTTCTTTAGCCATTGCAGAATTGTTTTCTAATTTCTATAATTCAGGCCTACATAAAAAATCAGCTGTATGAGCTGAAAAATAATTGGCAAGAATTATTGTAATGTCCAGATAATTCCTGACTGCTTTTCCCGTTTTTTTTTGTGTACTGATGTAGAGGCCTTTTCAGTCCCAATGTTCCACAGTGGTCCTGATAAAAATGGCTTCCACCTGGGCATTAGAAGGAACTTGGAGCACGTGTTTGGGAAACAGAAAAATCTTTGGTTAATTCCGGTCTTCACAAGGTATGTTTTTGTACATTAGTAATCTATTTTATTGCAGGGGAGGTCGATTTACAAGGTATAGAGAGCCTGACATTACCAAGGACTGCAGATATTATTCAGTGCTAGTAATCCTGCAGAAAACTGTCGGGACTGGAGACATGCTATAGGAGTCTGCACATGCTAGTGGTATGGTTGGAGACTTAAGACAAGTTGCAGGAGATTTGTTTCATGACTATACAGATTACCATTCATGTTATTAAGTGTAGGGTCAGAGAGCTGCACAGCGAGTAGCAGGGGACCACAAGTTAGACACAAGGGTTTTATGCTCCCACGCTTTCAAATATCACTCCTATGAATTTGTTTTTGGACATATGATTCTTCTAAATTGTGTTATTTAAATCATTGTATTGTATCTGATTTATTTTTCTTAGTATTGGAGACGGACTATCTTTTCCAATGAGAACTGTTTCTGAATCTCAAAACCCTCTGCTGTCTAGAGAGAATCAGTGGGATGATGATGATGAAGGCACAGATGAGGAAAATCCAGGTGAGGCTTTAAAAATAGTAATGTCAAGGAAAAGATGGTTTTAACCTGAATGGACTGCGGTTAATGTTGAATACCTGGAAATCTGCTTGAAATTTCTGACACCCATGTGGAGTTAATGGGGAAAAATAACTGTGACAAAGAAGGGCTTTTCTGGTCTAAAATTTTGCAGTTGCAGATCAGTGGATTTGAGGACAGAGTTTAATTGGATTTAGACACTTTACTTGTGTTGCTGCTATTCATGCAAATTCACTGTTTTTTGTCTTTTGGGCACGTCTAAATGTATACACTTAAACTGGCCATACACCTATAGATTATCTGCAGATGTTCTATGGTCAGATGGAAAAAGTGCAACAGATTCCTCCATCTATGCCAAACTGTATTTTGACAGCCAGGGGGGCCAACTAGCAAGATACTGAAGCTTGGCCCAGTGGGGGATTCCTCAGAAAAAGTGGCCACAGGCATTCCCCTGCTACATTGCAAGGGGTGTAGAGTAGGGATAACTGATTATTATATATGATGTAAAAACTATTTCCTAGTACTGGTGGGTGCCTCAAGCAAAGATACAAATGACAAGATTCCTACATCTACACAAACCTGTGTGGATGGAGGAATCTCCCACTGGGCCAAGCATCAGTATCTTGCTAGTCGGCCCCTCTGGCTCTCAAAATACCTGAACAATGCCTGCATCCAATCAGAAACATTGCTGTTGATCAAGTACATCCCTTCATGGAATTGGCATTCACTGATGGCAGTGGCCTCTTTCAGCAGGATAATGTACCCTCCCACACTGTTCAAGAATGGTCTGATGAACACAACAATGAGTTTGAGGTGTTGACTTAGCCTCCAAATTCTCCCAATCTCAATCCAACTGTGCTGGCAAAACAAGTCCGATCCCTGGAGCCCCCACTGATCTGCTACCGACAGCTTGGTGCCATATACCACAGCATACCTTCAGAGGTCTCGTAGAGTCTATACTTGATGAGTGAGGGCTGCTTTTGGTGGTGTGTGTATGTCTATGTGTATGTCTATGTGGAGAGCGAGTACAAACACTCAGTGATCAGTGATTGCTGAGTGTTTGAAGATAATTGAGGACATGGTATGTGGACTATATCCTCAATTATGAATGAATGGGAGTGATCTACATCACCTCCTGTTCATTCATACGGTAGTTGTAGTTATAGTAAACATACTCTGTCCTCATGTTTATCAATGAACAGGAACACTACAGTAATAGAGGATTTCTGTTCATTGATAACTCCAGTTTAAATTTTGCAGAGTAAGACAGCCGCTTACTGGTACCGGTACTTACCGGTATTTTTTTTGTTTTCCGACATTGTTTTTGGGCTCACTGTTGCATCTGGGCACTGGCTACACGCTCTCCGCAGCATCAGCTGACGTCAGGTACATAAGGCTCATGATTGGAGGAAACCTGTTAGCTTGTCTCTGCAATCGGAAGTTTCACTCGTGAGGCTAGTTTGCATTGCCGTCATCGGAAGCCCGCCCCTCAGCGGGGCAGGCTTTCGATGATCGCAAGTACGATCTGCCCGTCCAAGGTGGGCAGATCATACGGGCTTTCAAGAAGCATACGACCATGGCAAGACAAAAGTCTTGCCATGGTCGTAAGGTGTATGGGCACCTTTTAGAAGGGGGTTCCATGCTCCTTGGAATGTTACATTATTGATAACAGCTGGAGGACTTTTTTGTTGTTGGAAAAAGGTAGTAATTATGGAGGGGGGCTGGGATCTCCAGAGAAGATTCCATCACTTGAAGTCTCAAAACGATCTAAAGCTATGAAATGCTGGTGATGGAATAAACCTGCAAGCGTCTTTTTGCCTATAACCAAACAGTAACATCTTGGTGGACTGACTCTAAAGAAATAAAATGTGTGTTTTAGCTTTCACGCTACCTCCTAAACTGCAACTTATGAAAAGGACTCATTTTATACTTGTCCGGAAAAAACTTGTCTGTCATTTTTCTTTTGTATCTTTTTGTATTCCAGTTTCTCATGAGACCTCACACATCGCTATAGAAATGGACACATAGTTACTGGCACAGTTGAAGCTGAAAATGCAAAGTTAAGGTACGTGTGTTATTATTATATGGATAAATCAGTTTTATAGGTTTGTTTTACCTGCTTGCTATGACACTGCTTTTATGTTTGGAATAACACGTGTGTGAGTAACTAGAGAAGTGGAAGGCAATGCACAGCTGTTTTCCCCCTGTTTTGGATTGCTAAAGTCACTACAAACTACAAATATTTGTATCCATTAGTAGAAGAGTTAGGCTAGCTTTACTTCTGAGTGTTGCTGTAGCACACATTACAGTTGGGCAGAGTTGGCGTGTTTGTTCATCGATGAGCTATTCATCTTGCAAATGCACACCAAAACATGTGCAGCTCACCAGAATCCACACGTGTAAATTATCTGTGTTGTGTTCTGTTCTTTAAAAAAAAAACACAAGCGGGGTGGCGACAACGAGGACTTTGTCTGTTTTTTGGTACTTTGGCAGCCCATTTCAAGTCGGGAGAGATTTATATAAAATGGGAAAGATAAATGTCCGTGTTGACCTTGACAACGAAGAATGGCAGTTGGAGTTTAGTTTTTGTGACAAAATTCATAAGTTAGTGCTGACCATAAAGTGGTCAAATTTCCACCAAGTCAGCAGGATACAAGCAGTGTGTGGCCCTGTCAGAATTGCTTGACAAAAGTTGATTGAAAAAGAAATCTGTCAAAGCAGCCAGTCTGAAATCCGCTGCAGTGACTGTTTGGGCATTTTACGAACCACAATCCACAGTGTGTGGCTAGCTTAAGAGCTTTGCTTGTAGGACAGTTTTGTATTTACTTTTGATTATAATTGATTTGGATAAAAGCTTGAACTTAACTTTAAACAGAATCCCTCAGGCTATGGGAACTGTTGTGGCAATCTGAGTCAGAGATTAGGTAATGTCTGACTCTTTCCAGCTTGCAAACTGCCTGGCCTCACATGCTGTCTGTCAGCCTCTGGGTGTGCAGGGTCTGAGCAAATGACAGCCAGCATTTTCCTTTGGCACTCCAGCTGAAGTGTTAGGTTTGGATTAATTATATAAAGCTAAAGAAGTGTGTCCCTCCTTTTCTTTCTGAAAGGGTTGTTGGATCCCTGGATAATGTGCCTTTTATTCGGGTAAGGATAACCAGGCTGCATGGGACATTTCAGGAGGTGCCAGGCTACCTACTATTGTAATGTTTATCAGTCACTGCTTTTCTAGGTGTTGGTAATTCTGTCTGCATACAGATTTGTAATCATAGGAAAGGCAGCATACTAGAGGCATAGTTGAAATCTTCCCTGGATCTGCGATTATATAATTTGCAGGGAATGATAATGGCGTTCAGTATCTTTATCACAATGCCGTTGTTTGGTTACTGAAGTAAGCTGATTTCCTCTGAATTTTTCAGTCTCATAGACTTAACATATTTCCTTCTTTTGCATTTTAGGGGTCAGAATACTGGGACAGTTTCCACATTGCATCCTGGAGCCAATATCCAGGCACCCTTGATCCACAGGCAGACATTGAACAGCTTTAGAACTCCATCCCCAGGAGCCAGTCAGGCTGTGATACTATTGGACAAATCTGCTTATGTTGGGCAATTATTTGTTGGGTGGGAGAAAGGAATATAGGACCAATTGTTTTTTCTTCTGCACTCTGAGAATTCTTTCTATGCAAGAGGAGTTTCAACACCAGAGTGGTTTTCAGTATATCCTTTTACTTTTTTGATATTCTAATTTATTTGTTGTTTAGCCAATTGGGCTCTTTGTCTAAATACGGTTTACTAGTAATATTTGATGCTGGAGGATTATTTTCATCTCGTGTTTCCTGAAGGTATTTTACTCTGTATGTAAAACACTGAGAAGCTGTTCTAGGCACATAAAAGACTGGAGGACATTTTCTGGAGTTGTAATTTAAAGTTTGCACTGTAAAATCATGCATATGATAGCCAAATTGTCCCACAGCCTCATGATCCCTCTGTTTACCAGCTTTGTAACTGCTCTGAAGAGAAAGATGACAACCTTCAGGCTTAATCCCTTGGAGTTTAAAATGCAAACTGTGCCTGGGAACATGGTTCTAACTTTTAACATTCACATAGGTGGTGTGAGAAAGGGAGATTATAAAGCTATGAACGTTTTATAAGAATGTTGGTCATTCCTGTACCAAAGCTTAATTGTCAGATGCTATAATTGCATTTTCAACAAGTGAAACAGGATCTTTCAGTTTCACAACATCTGTGCTTTGGGATTGTCAATGCACAAAAGTGTCAAAGATGGATTTTGTTATTGTTCAGAGAAGTCAGACATTAAAGAAGGTGGAAAAATCTTTTAAATGACCAAGTCATCTTTACCTTTTTTTTTTATACAAACTTTTCAGCATACTGGAAGAAAGTTTGACCAAAGCTGCAGATTAGGTTAGAAATTGTTACCAATGTTTGAATATTTACTAGATTAGCTGGAAACTATGTTCAGCAAAAGATATTAGTGGTGTTCGTATGCTGAAAGCAGCCAGTATTTATGGTTGGTGTGCATTGACTTAATTACACATTGTGAGTGAATGTATTTGTGTATTCTCTTTTTATGGAGCCTTGTTTTTATACCATGTGCAAGTACTTGTCTGCTAAATGTGCATATTATATAACGTTCAAAATGTTTCAGGGACGTCATTTAGGGCCGAGTGACCTTGCTATTAATAACACATTGCCATGACCAAATAATGAACCAATTGCAACCAGCTATTATTTGACTGCTGAAAAGTGATTTCTGATTGGTTGCTATGGGTTATAGCCTTTTATACTTGCTGTTAAATACGTTCTCTTGTGCTTTCAGTAACTGAAAAGTAGAGCAGGTTTTATATATGCAGCTCTGTAAGTTGTCTGGCGACGGCAACCCGCCAATGCGACAGTGCCGTCCGTCCGTTTTTCTACTACGGGCGGACGGCAACTGGTTAAAGCCTCAGTTTTGATTGCAAAATATGCAAACACGGTTTTGCTATGTAGACATTTCGATTTTAAAAGCATTTGCCTCAGTTTGATCAATACTGTATTAATATACATCAGCGGTCTGACTAAAGCCATTTATGTATGTCCATCTAAAATACATTTTGTAATGTAACTTAGTGAATTTTCATAGGGTGACACTAGTTTATACATTCAGTCTACAAATGGAAGATGCAAGTTATTTGAATGCACTACTCTACATAAAATGCATATTATTCGTAGACTGAACCCAAAATAATTGGAATTCAGCCATACAATTAGCTACACAAACATGAATATCAAAATATAAATCTAGCTTCATAAATATTTATCCTGCAATATGCTCCATTGATGTGAATGGCATTCTCATAAATGCTAAATTTGCAGACTAAGTGACAGGTGCACTTTAATATTCAAACATCATGTGGTCATGCGTGTTTTGATTAGTGCTCTTATAAAGAACAGGAAATAATACAACAAATATTTTTTTATTTTTTTTTGTACAGTTTTTATTTTTACACTTGTAGGGCATTTTTAAGGGGCCAACACTCCTTTCCATAATGTTTCGCTGGATTTGCTGCCTGCTGAATAAAATTAAGTCTAATTTGTAAATTCTTAGTGTGGTGTTTTCATTTCACATAGGTTTCCAGGATTTACACCTGAACCAAAAAAGTGAAAATGTGCTATGTTATAAGGAACATCTAAACATGTTAATTGCCTAAGCTGCACCCTGAAAAATTGACCTTTTGTGCTGAAACTATCCATGCACTTCCTGATATGCGAGGGTGCCTGGGCATTCCTGTGCACTACTACAGCCTTATAGCAGCAGTGTAAATCTAGGGCATTCCTGTCGAAGGAGATTTGGCAAGATATTTGGCGACGCCACTATTGTGCCAATTACTGTTTTCCATGCTGGAGGCTCTTATCTAAGAAAGCAAAGTTGTCTCTACCAAGATGGCCATATCCACATAGAACTGCTGCAGAGCAAGGCACGGGAAGTCAGTAATAGGGAAAGATTACAGGCAGTACTGGTAACAATTCTTTTGTCCTGCCTCGTTACCATCTTACGAATCAACAAGTAAAGCAGTTGGAACAAAAATGTGGAAATGACTGGCTCCCAAACTCCCATTCTTACTATAATCTCTAACATTTCAGTAGAATGAAGAGCACTAATGTGGCACAAGGAAAATAGGAATCTTGTATTCACCATAAAAATCTTGGAACACAGGAAGTCAAAAATGTTTGAATTATACTGCTGCACACAGGATGATTGGACACTGGCAAAGGCCAAACAAAAAACTGTAGGCAAGCCCAGGATAACCCCTCCTACTAGTAATATGCCTGTTTTGTGTTTTATGCTTTCAGCATTGCTTGGTACAAAAGGGGTGAGATCTGTGTCCCCGCAATGGCCTTAAAAATGATTTTACGGGGGGCGTGGCCTGGACGTGATGGCGGAGAGTCGCACCTAAGCCGAGCTCCGTCCGGACCCTCTGCATCCGCACCCATCCGACTCCGATTTAGCCTGCCGACAGCCCAAGAAGCTTGATGGGGGGACGGAAGGCCTCCGGAAAGACCCCAAAGACCCCGAAACAGCCGAGGGGATCGCTGGATAACTTTCTCCGCGGTCGGAGGACATGCGACCGGGCCGCAGCCAAGATGGCGCCTGGCGGTTCACATGCTGCCGGCTCGCCTTCAGGTATGCCCTGTCCCACCCCGATCCCCTTACTGCTCCTGGAGGGGGACCCCAGAGACCCAGGTGGATCCCCGAGATCGGGATACTCAGAGGCGGCCACGTCTGAGGGAGAGGACCCAGACTGGGACCTGAAGGCTGTCCTCCGGTCCCTACCCACTAAAGCTGACCTCCAGGCGTTTGTCTCCCAAGTGGAAGGGGCGCACAAACAGGCCATGACTGACCTCAGGGCCGACACTACACAGCTGGGCCAGAGAGTGGAGAAGCTAGAGACGCAATATGCTGAGGCCCTGCACACCATCTCCCTCCTGAAGGGCAAAATGCTGCAGCAGGACTCTAACATTGCAGCACTGCACAACCAATTGGATGATTATGAGAACAGGAGCCTTCGCTCTAACATCCGGCTGCGAGGCCTTCCAGAGGCAACCAGGCCTCAAGACCTGTTGCCCACGGTGTCCCCCCCCCCATCCCCACCCCGGAACTTAATGCCTAGTTATTCTTGATTACAGAATCTTGTTCATATGCACTTTGTTCACTGTGGCCAGCTCGCAAGACCGAATGGTACAAAGCTGTCGAGTATCCGGGAAAGGATTGTGTCCCTATGTTTTTGTCACCCCGCTAACCCCTATCTATGTTTTCCTATGTGCCTTTCTATTTTGTTTTATTATGTTGTTTATTAATGCAAAACTGAAAATAAAGAATATTTAAAAAAAAAAAAGGATTTTACAGTGAGTGCATAAACTATTTTCTTTCTCCTTCATTGAGGAACACAAAATCCCTTACATGCACCTGTGCCAGTCTGGCGCAATGAGGATCACCAAAATGCCTTTCAACTTGGTCCTGCGAAGCAGCTGAGGTAGAAGTTTTAAAGGGCTGAAAGGCATAGATCAGGATCTACTGATCCTAGGAGACAGAACATAACAGGAAGGTTTAAGACTGTGTTAAAAAAAAAAAACCTTTTTAGAGTGTTTCTGAATTTTAGGCTCCTCAGTCTTTGTATCTTTGCTTGAGGCACCCACCAGTACTAGGAAATAGTTTTTACATCATATATAATAATCAATTATCCCTACTCTATACCCTTGCAATGTAGCAGGGGAATGCCTGTGGCCACTTTTTCTCAGGAATCTCCCACTGGGCCAAGCTTCAGTATGTTGCTAGTCGGCCCACCTGGCTGTCAAAATACATGAGCAATATGATTGGATGCAGGTATTGTTCAAGTATTTTAAGAGCCAGCGGGGTCGACTAGCAAGATTCTGAAGCTTGGCTCAGTGGGAGATTCCCCCATCCACACAGTTTAGCGTAGATGGAGGAATCCGTTGCACTTTTTCCATCTGACCACAGAAAATCAGCAGATAATCTATAGGTGTATGGCTAGCTTAAAGCATTCACCGCTCCCTGCTGTTCAGCAAGGCACAAGCATGTGTCTGCACTTTCCTGATGTGGCACTGGGTAATATTTCAGGGCCAGGGCTTTGTTCTACTCAGTACTGCCTATATCTGCTGTTTGGCACTATAGGAAGCTGCGTTTCTCAGTTCTTTTTAGAACATACTGTAGAATGTTATATCCACATTGTAGTTACTTGTCACAATTATGCAACAAAACAAAAATGTTAGCAAAAGCAAACAAACATGAGAGAAATTGTATAGAGAGTTTAAGTAAATTATGTAACCTAGTGGTACTGAAAAGTTTATTTTCTTCAATAAATGGTGTCATACAAGAAAAGAACAGAAAAGAAACAAATTCGCAATAATTTTTTTTATTACTATTAAGTAGCCATACAAATGAATAAATAATTGATGCCCTGGAACACCTCAGCACGCCCATACAAGCTGCTTTTGAATGGAATGTGAACCCTGGGGTGGGGTGTGTAAGCAAAGAAAGTCAAGGAATAACCAATCAGTTTTGGTTGCGGGTGGCCAGGAAGTAAATATTTAGTACAAAGCTAGAAAAACAGATACAGTAAAAAGACTGCATAATGGAGTGCCTTGTGCAAGTTTTAGGCAGCAGTGCACATTCAGGGCACTGCATGGCACAGAGGCAACACTGAGTCTTAAGCAGCCCCTGGAAGAGGCAGGATTTCTAAAGATCAGTCTGTCCCAAAATATTTTTGTCCAAAGTGTGTAGGGGCCACTGGGTGGACTTCGGTGGTTAAAATGGTTATGTCAGGAAATTCTTGAATGATGGAAATTGCACCTGTTTAGGTAATAATAAAAATGTATCACTTTACAGCAAACATGCAGATAAGAATAACCTTTATTTACTTAGAATACAAATACGATGTTGTACTTAACATAACATTCTCTTCTTGAAGCCCACTGAGGAACAAAGGGAGTTTAAAAATTCTTAGATAACTCGCATATACTGCCACTTTCAGAGGAGTTTGGGACACTGGCAAGCAAAAAAAAGTTTAATCCAAGAGAGCTAAATCACCAGTAAGCAGAAGCCGCTGCCTGATGAGCCTCAAATGGCAAATGTGAAGGGCACAAATCAGCCACTGAAAAATAATGAACAAATAAATGTAAAACTACCTGAAGAAGAAGAAAAAAACAACAACAAAAAAGAGCCTTTTTTGCCGCACTGATCAGTGCGGTTTCCATATAGCTTTCAATGGAACCGCTCTGATCAGCACGGTTTTGGGCGTTTCTAGCTGAAACGCAATTAAAAACTCACAAAACCTCCCTTTTGAAATCAGCGCTGATCCGCAACCACCCTGGTGTGAATGGGGCCTAAAGGCTGGGCGGTTTTTATCTTAATGCATTTTCTGCATTAAGGTAAAAAATGTCCAGTACCTTTTTGACTCCACCATCCCCCCACACTTGCCTGTCAACGTAGTTACCACTGCCGGTCCCCGAATCGATCCTCCATCCCGGTTGCAGGGTAGGATACTGAGGACAGAGAAGCCATAGGCTTCTACTGCCGTCAGTCAAACTCTTAGGTGGAAAGGAGGGACGTGGCCTGCCAGTCTACACAGCCACTTGCGGGCACAAGCCATACGGGTGCCTCCACAGCAGCCGCTTAGCTGCTGGTAGCACCCATGCAGGGGGAAGAGCGATGCGGGGACCCACTAGAAAACGAGGAATTGAGAAATGAAAAAACAAAACAAAGATCTGCAATAAAGACGGGCTCCCACTTATACAAATTAAAAACAAAAACCCTAAAGCTTTAATATCACCTTAACTTAAGGAAGTTTGGACAGGCAATGTTAAAAATGTTGAAGAAAAGGTGTTCAACCTCCTAGGCTAGGACAACAGCAAAAAAAAAAAAAAACCCTAAAAACTGAAGCATAACAGCTGGGAGGCAGGTTATACAAGGATTGGCTCAACACTGTTTTCCAGTGTCTCAACCTCCTGAAGGCAGCAGAATAACTGAGAATTAATAAAGTCCTGTATACGTTAACGGACAATAAAGTATAAATATTTTCATTATTTACAAAGTTACCAGCAATTTAAAATCTAGGAAATCATAAAACAGAATTGCCCATAAAGAGCTTACAATCATATACAGTACTGTGCAAATGTTTTAGGCAGGTGTGAACAATGCTGTAAAGTAAGAATGCTTTCAAAGATAAAAATGTTTAGTTTATTTTGATCAATTAACAAAACAGAAAGTAAAGAGAAATCAAAATCAATATTTGGTGTGACCGCCCTTTGGGAAAAGCACAGACCTCTGAGCAACAAAAATCTGAAGTCTATGCATATTGTCTATATTAGGGATGCACCGATACAAGAATCGGTATCGGCGGCGATACCGAGTATTTGCATGAGTACTTGTACTAATACTCCGAAACATAAAACGAGTACCTGTGCCGCGTCCACCATCTTCAGGGACCCGAATCCGCCGCACATTATTAATTTCATTATTCAATGTCTTTTTTTTAATATTATAAACGTTATAATATTTTAAAAAAAAAGACATTGAATAATGAAATTAATATTTATCATGCCATTGCTAACTAAGGCTTGTATCCCCCTAGTGGTCAAAATAGATGAGCACATGTCCAGACTGCAGACCAGAACACAGTGTGGCACAGCTACAGCCAATTCTGTATAACTGGCTTTATATTATTATTACATTTTCTTATAATATAAAGCCAGGTATGCAGAATTGGATATAGCTGTGCCACACTACAGAGTGTTCATGTTCTTCATAATATTAAGAAACTGACCTAAAATCATGATTTTGTATTGCTTTAGAAAAAAAATGTGACCTGGCCCTTTAAGAAAAAGTATCGGTAATTGGTATCGGCGAGTACTTGAAGGAAAAAAAAAGTATCGGTACTCGGCCTTAAAAAAGTGGTATCGGTGCATCCCTTAGTCTATATGGTCAGTAGCATGTGGAGATGGTCTTTGTGGGAAAGTGTTCTGTAGTCTCAGTTGCACCCTAAAAAGTGTACATCATAGTTTTAACCTATTGAATGGCATATCCTATTTGCAAGTACTCTTTCCAAGTGCATTCAATGCTGCTTTCACATTCTAAAAGGCAGAGTATTATTAAAGCGGTAGTAAACCACTGCGTGAAGGGTGACGTTTTTGCCTTACAAATGTGCCCTTCTCCAGCACTGTTGATCCATCTTTGGTCCCCTGGCGCTGCTGTCACTTCTGGGTTCCATGCGCCTCTTCCTCCTCTTTTGCCATTGGGTGGTCACTGATAATGTAACTCCTGTGCAGGAGGAGTTGCATCCTTCCTGGCCTCTTAGAGATGTGTGCACCGCAGTGTACACACCAAAAAATGGTGGAAAGACTTCTTTTGCATGTCTCTTCTGCCAAAAATCTGATTTTTAAAAATTTAACTTAACTTTCACTTTACTGCTCTTTACTGAACATTTCCTAGTTCAATGACTGGCAGCACATATTGTACTTTTAAAAGGAGAATTATGGAGCGAGTGAAAATCAGTCATCACCATAATTCAAGCTGTCCTGTGACAAAGGATCCGTCACAGGTCGACTCTGTTGATCGGGAAGTGAGCAGAAACATACTGCCGATCTGCTCACTTCCTGATCATCTCCCTGAAGATAGTGGTATCTGTCAGTCACCGCTCCCCCACAGGGATTCCCCCCTCCCCTGTCCGATCCTCCACCACTAAGTGGAGGAACGAACAGGGGAGGGGGCGAGCATAGCAGACTCTGCATCTAGAGAGGCAGAGCCAACTGTCACTCATGCAGCTGGGTGGATCTCGACTCTATTGTCGGGATCAGTCCCAGCTGTGGCGCTCTTGGCATATGGCGGGCAATAGCCCACTATATACTGCTCAGTTTTGGGTCACGGGAGGAGGTTAGTATGCATGCTTGTTGTCAGTCAGTGTCTCAACATACTGAAGCCAGGTCATTGAGACAGGCAGACAACTAGCATTTTAAGGCGAGGTCAGCAGTGGCAGTCTACATATGTCATTACAGGTTTCCTTTCTGTAATGTGAAGTACTATTTGACAAACATCCAAAAGTCTTACCGTGTGGGGTAGAGAAGAGACTGAGAAGTATAATACAGCTAGGTTGGACTCCATGCTCAATCAGAACTTTAACTGCTTCAATGACAGTATTGCCCGTGCCTGCAAAATACATTTTACAAAGATCATGGCAGGGTATGATCAACACGGGTAAAGGGAAGATCCTTTTAAAATTTAATTTCAACAGATTAATCATCTGCTTTTTACAATCACTCTTTAAAAGCTAAACTCCAAGATGATATATACACACACACACACACGCAATAACCCAAAAAACACAGTTTGTTGCGATATACACATACACACAACGTCACATTCATTATATGCGTTTTATTTGTTTTCTATACTCATGCAGCATTGATATGTTGCAAAAAGCATTAGAGGATATTGAGCCATTAGTACTAGCCCTTGTCCTCTGCAGTGACTCACCATTTAAATCTCTACTGTACACAAATACAAGGGTTAATCAACCCACCAGTATGATAGTGCACAAGTCACAGAAAAAAAATAAAATCTAAGTTTTGTACATGTAAACCATTATATGCATTTCAGCTGAGTATTCAGTGGTATTAAGCTTTAAAGGAAAGCTGTCCTGTGAGTTAACAAGGATTCTGCCATTGCTGTGCTGAAAATCCTATTTGGCTGGCAGTCATGCGGACTCAGAAGAAAGTCAGCAATGGCGGCTCCTGTGTTTGTCTTAGGAACATTTTACTTTAAATCCCATCAGCACAGATGAAAACATTGGTTTGTATACAAATATACAGAGAGACACTAAAGTAGTAGTTCTGTTCACCACACTCTCTGCTCCAGGTCCTTGCGTTTTTGCCATTACTTCTCAATGCCCCTATATTAGCAGGCACCGAAATACTGTTCATAGAGAGAAGGCTGCAGTAACATTCTCCCCTGTCCTTACTGCATCCTTTAACTGATAATAGTAAATGAGACTCCTGTACTGTATGTCATGGCTGTGACTTAGAAACATTAGAGAAATAAAGAGAAAGATCTGATTGGGTAATACATAACCAATGTGTTAAGTGTTTTTTTTTTTTTATTGCAAGATTACATGTGATGACAAAAATATGTGGGCTGACATTGCTAGTATCCTGAAAATGCAAGTTGCCGTTTATGGCTTTAGTGTTATGGAGTCACAGATCCAGAAAAGCATTCAGCAAATAAAAAGCCAGAATACTCTATACATGCTCTGGATCTTCATGATGCAAGAATTATTGAAACCAGAGCATGACAGCCATGTAACCAGTATTTTCAATAGGTATTTCAGAATGAGAGCTCACAAGTGTACTTTGCAGCAAACCTGAAGTAAAAATACTTAAACCCCCGATGGCACCATACAGCAGGAACCTCTGGGTGTCTACACATCCGGTTAGTTTTCCAATTCTCCTTCATGGGACCCCCCATATCCTAATCCACTCTGAAACCCGATCCTGTACTTCCTGTCTCACTATTGGCCTGTCAATGTTAACACTCATAGGATGAGGAAAGTACATTTTCTAATTTGTGGTCACTAGAACTTACTATTCATCTGTTTAGTTATCCGGATCTTTTACAACGTATGGTGAACTACAACAGTAAATGTGTGATAAAAAAAATGTGCTTACTTAGTATAGGGTACATTAACAAAACCTTCCTCCTATAAATATCTGGTGGGAACTTTGCATAATAGACTTTGGCACGTTGTGTTTCCTCATCACTCTGGATCAAAATTTTCCCAATGCGGATGGAGCGGCAGCAGTCACGCAGGCCCTGTTCCATGGCTTCACCTATTAACAAGAAAGAATGTGAGAGCTGTGAGCCTGGAAGGAATTCAGAAGATGGCAACAAGAATAGACTAGAATGTAAAAACTTCCATACCTATGCTGAAACTCTGTCATAATAAAACATGCTACAAATATCATGTGCACGGGGTGTTTTTCTGCATTTGTAGGATATGTGCATAAAAAAAAAAAAAAGTTTAAAATACATCTAATGGCTTCTGTAGTATAGTAACTGGATTTGGGACTTGTTTAGACTATGTGATATACAAGCTAGGGATGCATTAAAATTTTGGCCAAAAATTGTACCAAAACAGCCCAAAAATTCAGTGCACCCCTAGCTTCTTATATTCACTCCGCTCGGTAGCAGCCTGTGTCCCCTCTGCTCTCCCTGGCCTGTGTAAGCAGATGCGATCAGAGGGGACAAAGACCCAATCCTGCAGCCAGGGCCCAGTGGGGAGGAGAGAAGCTGTCAGGAGGTTGAGCAGGGTAGTGTGCGGGGAGGAGACAGCTGTCACAGGAGGCCAAGCTCTCCTACCGCACCACCGCACTCAGTCTCCAGTGACAGGCGGAGCAGTCAGGATGGACAGCTGAGTGCAAACACTCAGTGATCAGTACTGTGGACACAGTAAGCTTACTGTGTGCCCAGATTTAAGTGAACAGGAAGTGCTCTACATCACTTCCTGTTCATTCATGATTGTGGTCATAGTAACTGATACGATCCTCACCTATGACATGACTGGTAATGCCTTAAATGACTCTGAATTCTCCAATTATAATATAAATTCTATTTTGTGCAGTTCCTGCTGTTCAATGTGATGTGAAGGAGGACCAAACTACAAAAAAACAATAAATTACTTTACATATACTCATACCCCTTTGCTGCTCCCATTAAAAAAGTCAGTCACAGAGCTCGAAATCTAACATCTCTCCTGCAGAGCGGTCTCTAAACTCCTACCAATCAGTGCTTTGCTTCCACCTTCCCGCAGCTGCTGATTGTGGGCCTGTGTGAGCCAAAGAAAAAGATTGGCTGCCTCCGTCTGACAGCCAGAGAGTGACAGGGACTCACCCAGACCCTCTCATGCTTGAATACTAGAGTTGAAAGAGTTTGGAGGTTGGACTGCTATATTTTGATCATTTTAAAAGCAGCAGCGAGGGGGTCCCGATGGAAGTACATGTGTGACTTTCGGTCTGTTTAATGGACAATATTTTTTTCCTACTTTGAAGATTAAAATAAAATAAAAAAATCTTTTGGCCAAAAACAGTAACACAGATTATTATTGTTAGTTGCAGGGCTGTAAATCCAAAAGCAATTAGCTGCATTGCATGCAATGTTCCCCTCCCAGAAAATGTTTGAGCTTTATATAGACTAACCTTCACTAAATATTGCAGCATTTACATAGTGGCTATAGTTTTTAATCTTCCCTTTGAACTGGAGGGCCTAGAAAATCTACACTTTTCCTATTACAAATGAACTAGGAGCTTTGCAAAAGAATTCCACAGCATATTAAAAGAGACTCTGCCACGTTGCCCATTTAGAGTAGTGTGACAGGTTCCCTTTGCTACCCCAACACTCCTCCACCGTGAGTTGGGAGTCCAAATCTACACGGAGTGGCCAGTCGGCCCAACAAAGTAATCTCGTGGAGTCATCTCGTGGCCCAACGAAGTACTGATGGGGTGGTCATGATAATCTGGCCACTCAGTGTATGCAAGTGCTGTGTCAGAACTTACACAGGGTTAATCATTTTCTCTCTTTTCTTGTGTGATTGCTCAAACCTGTTCCACTGGTCACTCAGGCATAAGCTTGGAATGATGAGAGAAAACAGAGGAGGTCACATGACCTCCCATTACTTGGAAGAACCAGATATTTCCCAAAGGCTCAGAGAGAGAGCATCAGCGCAGCACAGATGAATATCAGTGAGCGGAGGGTTGTTGATACAAGACAACATGTCACTTTGCCATTTTAGAGTCTCTTTAAAGTGTACCGCTAAACTGGGCAAAGTTAAACATATTTATGTGAACTATTTTGCTTGCCAAATGTGCAGTTCTGTTCAGCAAATGTAGCAACTCATTGAGGGAGGACAGAGCAGTGACAGGGCCAAGTCAGGAGTGGGGCTGTGCGGGGGGAAGAGCTGCGGGACAATCAGCAAATATGTGAAATATTTGCTGATCGCTCTCTGTAATATTCAAACTTCAGTGATAAGTACTGATCACTATGATGTTTGTAAATAACTGAGCAGTATACGGTGTCCCCAATCATAAATGAACAGGAAGTGCTCTACATCACATCCTGTTCATTTATGATTGTGGACATAGTATCTGTTTATTATCTCCTCGATTTATGAATGAACAGGAAGCCTCTGTACTGAGAGCTTCTTGTTTATCGAGTGCTGGGGCTGCAAAAAAAACAAAAAAAAAACAATTTAAGAGGAGATTAAGTGTCCTCAATCACTTATTTTATTTCAAAAGGGAAATAACAGGGGTGTAAGCCCCAGATATTACCCCAAAGCCCATAACAGTAAAGTTAAAAAAATTATTGTAAAAATATATATTTTTTTAAGAAATAA